ACTTTGGAGTGATGTGGAATATTTTTACCTTCCTTATCTTCTCTCCCTAGCACAAAAAACTCCTTATTTTTCATCGGTATCATATAATAAAAGAACACATGATTTGGAATAACTGGAGTTGAAACCAAAAAATCACATCCCACAAACTTTTGTTCCAAAGCCTGAAAATTTAAATGTGCAGAAGAATCCCTGAATACCAACTGCTAAATAATTTTTCTAGTATCTCTGCAGATGGAAGCTGTGTTTCCCACGAGCAGTCCTTTATATTGAATTCTATCTTCTAAAGCCTTTTTTTCCCTTGATTTTTTTAAATCTTTTTACAGTAGGGGCACCTGGGTTGCTCAGTTGGTCAAGAGTCTGTCTTTGGCTCAGGTCATGATACCAGGGTCCTAGAATCCAGCCCAACATCATGCTTCCTGCTCAGTGCTTCTCTCATTCCCTCTACCCTCCCTGCTGTTTGTGCTCACACTCTGTCTCTCAAATAAATAAAACCTTAAAAAAATGTTTACAGTAAGTGTACATAGTGTTTTCTTTAATATTCTACTTGAAGTAAAAAGCAAGGTTTGATAGTAAGATATATATATATGTATGTGTATATGACATACACATACATATATATATCTTACTATCAAACCTTGCTTTTTACTTACATACTTTCTTTTTACATATGTATATGAATGATATATGTCCTATATATAATGTGTTAAAGTATGAATATGAAATAAACAGTTATGGTAGGAAAAACAACTATGCCACGCCTTGTGATTGAATATTTATTCAGTTTCAGCATTATATTTAATTCTGAGCTTCTGAGCAGCCAGTGAAAAGGGAAATATAATTTTTGTCATCATATGAGCAGAAGAGCATTTCTTTTTTTGAATTTTAAAATGTATTAGCCTAATTCAGCTGTCCTAAAACTGTGAATGTGGAGCACTAATTCTGCTGAATACTAACAGGTATCAGGATTAAGTTTGAAGATAATGGGCTAAATAAGATAAACAGACTTTTTCTTTTTTCTTTTGTTAAAAGTTTTTTTATTTCAATTCCAGTGTAGTTAACATACAGTGTTATATTAGTCTCAGGTGTACAGTATAGTGATTCAACAGTTTTATACATTACTCAGTGTTCATCATGGTTAAGGGTACTCTTTATTTATTTATTTTTTAAAAAGATTTTATTTATTTATTTGAGAGAGAGAGAGATCACAAGTAGGCAGAGAGGCAGGAAGCGAGAGAGAGAGAGAGAGACAGACAGACAGACAGCGGGAAGCAGGCTCCCTGCCGAGCAGAGAGCCCGATGCAGGGCTCGATCCCAAGACCCTGGGGTCATGATCTGAGCCAAAAGCAGAGGCTTTAACCCACTAAGTCACCCAGGTGCCCCAAGTGTATTCTTTTATCCCCATCCCCTATTTCACCCATCCCTTCATCCACTTTCCCTCTGGCAACCATCCTTTTGTTCTCTATAGTTAAGAGTCTGTTTTTTGATTTATCTCTCTCACCCCCCTTTTTTTGTTTTGCTTTTTAAATTCCACATATGAATGAAATCATGATATATATCTTTCTCTGACAGACTTATTTCACTTAGCATTATATACTGTCTTGCTCCATCCAAGATGTTGCAAATGACAAGATTTCATTCTTTTTTTATGGCTGAATATTTTTCCAGTATATATATATATATATATATATATATATATATATATATACCACATCTTCTTTATCCATTCATGTTTCCGTGGACTCTTGGTCTGCTTCCATAATTTGGCTGTTGTAAGTAATGCTTCAGTAAACATTGGGGTACATGCATCCTTTAGGCTTAGGGTTTTGTATTCTTTGGGTAAATACCCAGTAGTGCCATTACTGGATTGTAGAGTAGTTTTATTTTTAATTTTTTGTGAAACATCAATACTGTTTTCTGGAGCAGTTGTACAGTTTGCATTCCCACCACCAGTGCAAGAGGATTCCTCTTTCTCCATATCCTTGCCAATGTTGTTTCTTGTGTTGTTTTAGCCATTCTGATAAAGTGTGAGGTGATATTTTATTGTAGTTTTGATTTGCATTTCCCTGATGATGAGTGATCTTGAGCACCTTTTTGTATGTCTGTTAGCCATTGTATATCTTGTTTGAAGAAATGTCTGTTCAAGTCTTCTGCCCATTTTTAAGTTGGATTATTTATTTTTTGGGTGTTGAATTGTGTAAGTTCTTTATATATCTTGGATATTAACCCTTTATCAGTTATGTCATTTGCAAATATCTTCTCCCATTCAGTAGGTTGTCTTTTAGTTTTGTTGATTGTTTCCTTCACTGTGAAGAAGCTTTATATTTTGATGCAGTCAAATAGTTTATTTTTGCTTTTTTCCCTTTGCCTCAGGAGACTTATCTAGAAAAATGTTGCTATGGCCAATGTTAGAGAAATTGCTGCCTATGCTCTCTTTTAAGGTTTTGATGATTTCCTGTCTCAGATTTAGGTCTCTTATTGATTTCAAATTTATTTTTGTGTATGGTGTAAGGAAGTGGTCCAGTTTCATTCTTTTGCATGTAGCTGTCCAGTTTTCCCAACACCTTTGTTGAAGAGACTATCACTGGTTGCATATTCTTGTCTCTTTTGTTATAAATTAATTGACCATATAATTGTGGGTTTGTTTCTGGGTTTTCTATTCTGTTCCATTGATCTATGTGTCTGTTTTTTGTGCCAGTACCATACTGTTTTGATTAGTGCAGCTTTGTACTATGACTGGAGGTCTGGAAGTGTGATGCCTCAAGGTTTGTTTTTCTTTTTTAAGATTGTTTTGGCTATTTGGGGTCCCCATACAAGTTTTAGGATTATTTGTTGTAGTTCTGTGAAAAATGACATGGTATTTTGCTAGGTGTAGTATTAAATCTGTAGTTTGCTTCTTTCATCAGTGTTTTAGAGTGTACTTACCAGTTCCAGTAGTTTTTTGGTGGAGTCTCTTGGGTTTTCTACAGAGTATCATGCCATCTGCAAATAATGAAAGTTTTACTTCTTTACTAATTTGGATGTCTTTTTGTTGTCATAAAGAAACTTCTTACATGTTTTCTCATAACCTTAAGTATTCTTAACATGTATCTTGACTTTCTAAGAGAAAGATAGTTTCCTTAATTCATTTTGCCATTAAATGCTTTTAAAGTAAATATTAAGCTTTGCAAAGTGCTGGCCTAAGTCAGTGTACAACTGGATGGATTATGTCTTCAGTAACATTTTTACAGAAGATATCACGATTGCTTTTTATTTGACCTTTCCTTATGTTGATTTAACTTTTCTTTGAAACACAATCCAGGGGAAAAACTTCTTCCAAGAAATCTAGATTCTCCCTATCCATCTGGAGTTGCTGCTTTTGAAAAGCACATGCGGGAATGCTTTAGGGGCTAAGTATTTCTGTTGTCTGCCTGTCTGCTGACCCAGCAGTAGGTCTAGGAGTCTCTCAGAGGCACAGTCATTCTAGACAGGCTGATTATATTTTTCCTAGTGTAACCTGACTCTCCAGGACCCACACCTACTAAGGCTACCACTGTTTGAATATGTAGCAAGGGCCTGAGCGCTCCACCTTCTCCCCAGGTACCTGCTGGGACTAATTATTTTGAAAACACTAGTAACAGCATGCTTCCAATTTAAACCCCAGATGTAAGCTCTTTTGGTCTTCTTTGCTGCTCTTCAGACTGTTTGTCACATACTTCTTGTACCTTAATCAGCTCTCCCATTTCTCCTCTCCTGGTCTAAACATGTCTATTTGCTCTTTAGAACACTTGTTTATGCCAAATAAATTATCCTCTGTTACATTAGCCTCTGCTTGTTAACTTCCATCTCTTCATTTAATGTTTCATTTAATATTTCTTCTACCCCCTGGCCTTAACTTGTCTGAGGTACATCTTTCAGTTGTTGCTTCTTTTTTTCTGAAATACCTTGTGGGCCCAAGGTTGGGCAAGACTGGTCAGTCTTCTCCATTTTCAGTGGTATATCCAGACTTTTATTCCTCCATTCTTTCAATTATCAGCAAGTAAGAACAACTTAAAGTAAAATTCCGTTCTTTTGGGTCTCACGCCTTTTAACTTTCTTACTCATTCCTGTCAATTTTCTCTCATTTGAAAATTTTGGTACCTGGTATCATCTTGTCACCCCCATTCCTGCCATTATTCATTTGGTAGCATAGCCTATTCATCTGTAATTTCCTCATCTTGAATCCATTTGGACTTTATTTTTATATGTACTCCGTGAAGTACAGCTCCATTCTTGGTGATCCACTGATGGGGAAGCAGTGACAGTAACTTGACCATTTGAGGGAATGATGCATTTTAAAGTATATAACCCTCCCCATAAATTGATTGGGTCTAAGAAGATAAGGGCTGATAAAAATTCTCAGGAATGTTTAAAATGTTTTATGTTTAATATGTTTAAAAAATTTTAATTTTATAGGAATGAATGAGAATTGTACTTGAAATGGTGATATCTGGCTATATTATAATCTTGATTCAAAGAGAGGGGTTAGCTCTTTTGCTAACTGTAGTGTGGTAGAAAGAGCATTGGATAATTTGAAGTCCAGCCATCTGCCAGTCGGTTACTTTCTCTTTTTTCCTACTGCAAAGTGGAGAGTAATAACTAATTCATGAAGTTGTTGGACTAATAAAATGCAGTAATTCCATATAAGTGTATGTGTGTTTTGTAAACATTGATGTTTAAGATCTAATAAAAATTAGAGAACTATTCTCTCCTAAGGTAGGTCATAAGATTGCACTTCAACATCACATTGTCTGCATAAAAAACTTTATCGATACCCTGTGTGTTTTTATAGGAAAATAAATTATTTTAAAAAAGTATTTGTTATTTGTGGTACTTTAATCTGAATGATAATTGTTGGGGTTAGGAGACTCCAGTGAACATTATTCTGTGTAGTTATTGTAAGTCTAAGGAAAAGTAATTTATTTTTTAGGATCCTTCACTTGAATTATACTATTAATATTATCTTTTTAATGTTTAATCTACAGGTATATGATGTTGATTGATGGCACAAATGAAGTTTTTATGATTGATAGAGATAATTCAGTGTTTCATGTTTCAAATCTGGAATTTCCATTTCGTAAAGATCTCCGTATACATTTATCAAATACTCTCTTGGATGGGGTAAGTCATATATATATATATATTTTTTTTTTAAGTTAGACACTGCTATTTTTCTTTTTCCTGCAAGTAAAAGAAATAATTTTTTTTTTTTCAGAGTAGGGAGGGTCAGAGGGGAAGGGAGACAAAGAATCTTAAGCAGGATCCAGTCAAGCGTGGGCTCCAAGTGGGGCCCAATTGCAAGCCTGAGATCATGACCCGAGCCGAAATCAGGAGTTGGACACTAAACCGACTAAAGGCTCCCCTAAATGTGTATTTTTATTAAGTCAATGGGAAACTTATAATCTACTTTTTTAAAGAATTTTCTGAGGTATAATTGATATATAAAGAAAATAATCCAGTTTCTTATTAGGATGTTAAATTTTATTTATCTCTTACCTTCACTTACTCTCACTTGATTATTGTCTTGGCTATGGGAATAAGTGAACAAAACTAAATCTTAATATTTTTTTGCTCCTTGTGGTTGAAAAAAAATAGTTCTTGTTGAAAAAGACTACTTTTATTTTATTCTTTTACTTGTCAATTGAATTTTAATTATATGATACAACATATCACATTTTCCCTTGGCTCTTCAGCTATATGAACTAATATAGTTCTGGTTTAAAGAGAATTATGCCTTTGACATCAACCACTATACTTTTACATTTGAATTTTAAAAGTTGGTAAGAATTTTCCATTTTTTTTTCTTTAAAGATTTTATTTATTTATTGGACATAGAGAGAGACAGCCAGAGAGGGAACATAAGCAGGGGGAATGGGAGAGGGAGAAGCAGGCTTCCTGCTGAGCAGGGAGCCTGATATAGGGCTTGATCTCAGGACTCTGGGATCATGACCTGAGTTGAAGGCAGATGCTTAATGACTTAGCCACCAGGCATCCCTGGATTTTCCCATTTCAGAAAATATATTTAATAATCATAAAATTACTTGATTAAAAATATTTTAACTTTCTCCCATATAAGCAGCTTTCTTCCCAATTCTGAGAATATCTGTTCATTGTAAATAAAAATTAAAATAATATAGAATATTAGGAAAAAGCTGGTGAAAATTACCAGAACTACTATTGGAGTAACTTATATTATCATTTTGATGAACATTATTCCAGACTTTTCTCTGTGACACAGTGTTCAATCTTACGTCTATTCCTGTGGAATGTAATATTCATATTAATAATAGAAACTTAGAACGTAGATTCTTTAGTGTAGTTGGGATCCTTTATAATCCAATAAGATTCTAAATAATCGTGGAACCTCTGCCTCTTTGAAAGTGAGTCCTCTGGTGAAATATGTATACACGTGTGTAGTTAAATATTTTGTATGAAAGAACCAAATGGTACATGTGTTTTGTAACTTGTCTTTTTCTCCTCATGTAGCAATTTGATTTGGATGTCTTTCTCACATAAATGTCTGAATGGTATAACATTGCATATGTAAACACCATAATTACTGGGGTATCCAAACTATCTTGACTGCGAAAATTGTAGTAGATGCTCTTTAAAAATATGACCCATCTCAATAACCCAACCTCAACCTAGTGAATGAGACTCTGCCAGGGACCAGAGTCATCTGTACTTTTAATAAGTGCCCAAATAATCAGCCAAGTTTAAGAAATAGTTCTGTAATTTTTTTGAGCAGTCCTCTTTTGGTGAACATTTTTTTTTTTAGGTTTTTATTTTTATTTTTTTTAATTGGAAGACACTTTTTAAATGCATATCCTTATACATTTTTCCTTTTACAATTGTGCAGTTTTTTTAAACATTAAATAATTTTTTAAAAATTTAGTTAATGTATAGTATATCATTGGTTTCAGAGGTACAGGTCTGTGATTCATCAGTCTTATATAATACCCAGTGGTCATTATATCACATGCCCTCCTTAGTGTCCATCACCCAGTTACTGCATCCCTCCTCCGCTCCCCCTTACAGGGATCCACAGTTTGTTTCCTATGACTAAGAGTCTCTTATGGTTTGCCTCCCTGTCTGGTTTTGTCTTGTTTTGTTTGTACTCTTCCCCTATGATCCTCTGTTTTGTTTCTTAAATTCCACATATCAGTGAGATGATATGATAATTGTCTTTCTCTGATTGACTTATTTTGCTTAGCTTAATACCCACTAGTTCCATCCACGTCATTGCAAATGGCAAGATTTCATTTTTTTTTGATAGCTGAGTAGTATTCCATTGTATATATATACCACATCTTCTTTATCTAGTCATCTGTTGATGGACATTTAGGCCCTTTCCATAGTTTGGCTATTGTGGACATTGTTGCTGTAAACACTGGGGTGCATGGTGTCCCTTTGGGTCACTACATTTTTATCTTTGGGGTAAATACCCCCAGTAGTGCGGTTGCTGGGATGTAGGGTGGCTCTATTTTCAATTTTTGGAGGAACCTCCATACCGTTTTCCAGAGCAGCTGCACCAGCTTGCATTCCCACCATCGGTGTAAGAGGGTTCCCCTTGCTTTGTGTCCTCACCAACATCTGTCATTTTCTGACTTGTTAATTTTAGCCATTCTGGCTGGTGTGAGGTGTTTTCTCATTGTGCTTTTGATTTGTATTTCCCTGGTGCTGAGGGATGTTTAGCACCTTTTCGTGTGTCTGTTGGCCGTTTGGATGTTTGCTTTGAAGAAGTGTCTGTTCATGCCTTATGCCCATTTCTTGATTGGATTATTTGTTCTTTGGGTGTTGAGTTTGATAAGTTATTTATAGATATTGGGTACTAACCCTTTATCTGATATATCATTTGCAAATATCTTCTCCCTTTCTGTTGGTTGTCTTTTGATTTTATCGACTGTTTCCTTCTATTTTGGGGCACCTGGGTGGTCCAGTGGGTTAAGCCTCTGCCTTCGGCTCAGGTCATGATCTCATGGGCCTGAGATTGAGCCCTGCATTGGGCTCTCTGCTCAGCAGGGAGCCTGCTTCCCCCCCTTCTCTCTGCCTGCCTCTCTGCCTACTTGTGATCTCTGTCTGCCAAATAAATAAATAAAATCTTTAAAAAAAAAAAAGCTTTTTATTTTGATGAAGTCCCAATAGTTCATTTTTGCCTTTGTTTCTCTTGTCTTCGGAGATGTGTCTAACAAGAAGTTGCTGTGGCCGAGGTTACAGAGGTTGCTGCCTATGTTCTTCTCTAGGATTTTGATGGATTCCTGTCTCACATTTAGGTCTTTTATCCATTGTGAATCTATTTTTGTGTATGGTGTAGGGAAATAGTACAGTTTCATTCTTTTGCTTGTGGCTGCCCAATTTTCCCAGCACCAGTTATTGAAGAGACTGTCTTTTCCATTGGCTATTCTTTCCTGCTTTGTTGAAGATTAGTTGCCCACAGAGTTGAGGGTCCATTTCTGGGTTCTCTGTTCTGTTCCATTGATCTATGTGTCTTTTTTTGGTGCCAGTACCATGATGTCTTGATGATTGCAGCTTTGTAGTAGAGCTTGAAGTCAGGCATTGTGATGCCCCCAGTTTTGGTTTTCTTTTTTAACATTCCTCTGGCTATTCAAGGTCTTTTCTGGTTCCATACAAATTTTAGGATTATTTGTTCCAGTTCTGTGAAAAATATCAACGATATTTTGATAAGGATTGTATTGAATGTATAGATTGCTCTAGGTAGCATAGCCATTTTAACAATATTTGTTCTTCCAATCCATGAGCATGGAATGTTTTTCCATTTCTTTGTGTCTTCCTCCATATCTTTCATGAGTGTTCTATAGTTCTCTGAGTACATGTCCTTTGCTTCTTGGGTTAGGTTTATTCCTAGGTATCTTATGGTTTTGGATGCAATTGTAAGTGGGATTGATTCCTTAATTCCTCGTTCTTGTGTCTCATTGTTAGTGTATAGAAACGCAAGTGATTTCTGTGCGTTGATTTTATATTCTGCCACTTTGCTGAGTTCCTATATGAGTTATAGCCATTTTGTTTTTGGAGGCTTTGGGTTTTCCACATAGAGTATCATGTCATCTGCAAAGAGTGAGAATTTGACTTCTTCTTTGCTGATTTGGATGCCTTTTATTTTTTATTTTGTTGTCTGATTGGTGAGACTAGGACTTCTAGTACTATGTTGAACAGCAGTGGTGATAGTAGACATCCCTGCTGTGTTCCTGACTTTAGGGGAAAAGCTCTCCATTTTTCTGCATTGAGAATGATATTCACTGTGGGATTTTCATAGATGGCTTTTATGATATTGAGGTATGTTACCTCTATCCCTACACTCTGAAGAGTTTTAATCAAAAAAGGATGCTGTACTTTGTCAAATGCTTTTTCTGCATCTATTGAGAGGATCATATGGTTCTTGTCCTTTCTTTTATTTGTGTGGTATATCACATTGATTGATTTACGGATGTTGAGCCTTTGTAGCCCAGGAATAAGTCCCACTTGGTCACAGTGAATAATCCTTTTAATGCACCGTTGGTCCTATTGTCTAGTTTGTTGGTCAGAATTTTTCCATCCATGTTCATCAAGGGTATTGGTCTGTAATTCTTTTTGGTGAGGTCGTTGTCTGGTTTTGGAATCAAGGTAATACTGGCCTTACAGAAAGAATTTGCAAGTTTTCTTTCCCCATTTCAATTTTTTGACACTGCTTCAGAAGAGTTTTTAATTCTTCTTTAAATGTTTGGTAGAATTCCCCTGGGAAGCTCTCTGTCCCTGGGTTCTTGTTTGTTGGGAGATTTTTGATGACTGCTTCAATTTCCTTGCTAATTATGGGTCTGTTCAGGTTTTCTATTTCTTTCTTTTTCAGTTTTGGTAGTTTATACATCTCTAGGAATGCATCCATTTCTTCCAGATTGCCTAATTTGTCGACATATTGTTGCTGATAATATGGTCTTATCATAGTTTGTATTTCTTTGGTGTTAGTTGTGATCTCTCTTTCATTCATGATTTTATTTGGGTCTTTTCTCTTTTCTTTTTGATAAGTCTGGCCAGGGGTTTATCAGTCTTATTAATTCTTTCAAAGAACTAGATCCCAGTTTCATTGGTCTTTTCTACTGGTCTTTTTGTTTCTATTTCATGGATTT